ATTCAATATACTTCAACATTGAAGACTTACAGCAATTCTTGACAACACTAAGGGTGTGTTTGTCTCTCATTATTGGAAGAAAAATAGAGTAATGAATAGTATTTTTTGGAGAATGTGTAGTTGAAATTTAAAGTGATTTTATTGATTTGTGTGTAGAATATTTTATTGGGTAAATGTGTGGCGGAGAATCTTACTGTAGCAAACAATTTTTTGAAATGATGGTTGACAAATGGGCGAAATATGAAGATCCAATTCCCAGTTCATAAGTCAAATAACCTCCCTTCAAGAATTGAACATTTCACGAGTAAATGTCACCATCTACTTGTACAGTTGCTTGAATCTTCGACAGGCTTCCAAAATATTTTCCCGGTGTCCAAAGGCGCTGACCCTAATGAAACCTTCACCGCCAGGTCCAAAACCACCGCCAGGAGTAGTGACAACATGAGTTTTCTCCAGAATCTCGCTGAACACGTCCCACGAGCTTTGGCCAGGAAAGTAGATCCACACGTATGGTGCATTTTTTCCTCCGTATACCTTGAAACCAAGTGAATTGAATGCCTCGACTATGATGTCAGTGTTTTCCTTGTAGAAACCAACCACCTCATGCATGGCCTGCAGATGGCAACTCTTGTTTGATCAGTCGAAACATTGTTTTTGTTCCCCAACAACATTTTTCTTTTCTTTTTACTTAACCTCTTGAAATACTTATTTAAATTGTTTAGTCTTTCTTATACCCCCAAAATACCGTTAACCGGAAAAAAATTCTGCAAAACACAGACTAACCTTGATGCCCTCGGGTGAAACACATGCCAGACCACCAGCTTGAGCAATGTTGGATGCACCATTAAAACAAGTGCAGACAATGCGGTTGAAGTCCTTGGCCACGGGAAATCCATCAGAATATAAAAGCTCTTTTGGAATTGCAGTCCAACCTAAACGAACTCCTGTGAACCCAGCATACTTGGAAAACGATGAAACTTCCATCGAAACCTATGAGGCCAATAAGTTAAATAATTAGATATGGACTATTTAAGAGAGATAAATCATCATAGGAATATGCATCTATCTTGAAAATGATTCATTTAAAGAAACTGCTAAAAAACACACGCTGCTTTGAATAAAATTATATGCAAAATAACATCATCTATTCTTTTGTTCACATACTATGAACTGATAGAAGTATGGAACAACAGCATCTCTAGACAATTATTTTTCAAGTTCTACAAAAGATGGAAGTGGGAAACAGACCCAATAATTAACATCATAAACTGGGGAAAGACTATAAGAAATCATCCGTAGTAGGAGCCCCTTGTATGAAACAAAACATATGGGAAAGAGTAACAAGATAAAATGAAGTGTCCAAACTTTAGAACTTGTTGATTGATTTGGAAAAATCTCAATTTCATATATATTCACCAACGGGTTACACATATATATACATGCATAGGATATTTCTCAAAAGGAAATAATCTGATCTAATAAAGAAATAATTCTAGACTCATACACCTACCATATATATCAAATTTACACCTAAATTAACGTACACAGTTCATAACATCCCCCTAAAACTGGAGCATAGATATCAATTATGTCCAACTTGTTACAAATATAATTTACTCGATTCTCAGCTAAGGCTTTAGTGAACACATCGGCTAATTGATCACTTGTCCTGACATGCTTAGTCGAAATCAATCCTTACTGTAACTTTTCACGAACAAATAAAAGTCTACCACTATGTGCTTTGTTCTCTCATGAAATACCGGATTAGTAACAATATGAATAGTTGCTTGATTATCACACCATAAGCTCATAGAGTGGGACTTATAGATGCCAATATCCCCAAGCAAGTGATGTAACTACGAGTTCACAAGTTACCTGTGTTATAGCTCGATATTCAGATTTTGCACTTGATCGAGTTACAACACTTTGTTTATTACTCTTCCAAAAGACTAGACTATCCCCAACGAAAACACAATACCATGTAGTAAAGCACCTATCCATAGGAGAACCTACCCAGTCAGTATCTAAGAAACCCTGGTCTCTATAAAGAATCCCAAGCCTTGGAGCTCCTTCAAGATAGTTTAATATATGAGTTACAACATCCCAATGTGAAGTTCTAGAAGATGACATAAACTGACTAACAACACTTACTGGAAAGGTGGACGAGTAATTGTAACATAGTTCAATTTTTCCATCACCCTCCTGTATTTGTCCGCATCAACAAACATATCTCCATTTTCAGCCTCGAGTTTCACATTTGGTATCATGGGGGCATCACCAGGTTTTGCTTCAGCTGAACTTATCTCATCTAGTGGGTTTAGAGCATATTTCCTTTAGAGAGAAAAAATTCCTTTACTACTTCGAGAGACCTCTATCCCTAAGAAATATTTCAAATGACCAAACTCATTTGTCTGAAACCTTGTGCCTAAGAAAGCCTTCTACATACTCATGCAAATTATGCAATTGCTATCACTACCAGTAATCACAATATCATCAACATATACTACTAACAAAATACACCGAATTGCAGACTGTTTAAAGAATACCGAGTGATCATACGCACTTCTTTGCAAGCTAAATTCAATCACAACCTCACTAAATCTTCCAAACCAGGTACGTAGTGAATGTTTTAGACCATACAATGATTTTTGAAGTTTGCATACCTTCCTTGACTCCCCCTAAATAACAAATCCTGGTGGTTGCTCCATGTAAACTTCTTGCAAATCACCATGGAGGAATGAATTTTTAACATCCAGTTGGTAAAGCGGCCAAAACCAAATAGAAGCCAGCTTAGCAACTGGAGAGAAAGTCTAAGAGTAATCCACACCATAAATTTGAGCATACCCTTTAGCAACCAAACGAACCTTCAATCGAGTAACAGATCCATCAGGGTTCATCTTAACAGTAAACACTCATTTACGTCCGATTGCCTTTTTATTGAGGGGTCAAGGAACCAAATCCAAGGTATAATTATGTTTCATGGCCATCATTTTTCCTGCATGGCCGCTCGCTAGCCACTATGGGATAAAGCCTCTGTGACAGATTCTGGTAATGACAAAGAGTCTAAAGAAGCAGTAAAGGACTTGGAAGACTATGATAATGCATGGTAAGAAAAAAATAAAAGAGGATAAGTACACGACCATTTACCTTTTCGAAAGGCAATGGAAAGATCAAAACTAGGATCAGGAGAGGCTGACAAATCCTGAGGCAAAGCAGCAGGTAGAGACGATAAGTCATGGTTTGTAGTAGGTGCCATCGAAGATTGCCGCACACGACGAGGTAAACATTTCGAATAGAAGGACGAGCAAAAACTGGTAACACAAGTGTAGTCACAGTGTAAACAACAAAATCATCTTCAGACTCAAAAGAAGAATTAGAAGATGCAGAAGTACCAAAATGGGTGTGAACTCGAAAAATGTGACATTAACAGACACCACGTATCGTCTTAAAGGAGATAAACATCGATAACCTTTTCGATGTCAAGAATAACCTAAAAATATACGGTTAAGAGATCTAGGATCAAGTTAGGAAACTTGATGTCTCAAATCTTGGACAAAGCAAATACATCCAAATACTCTAGGAGCAAGATAGAATGAAGTCTGAGAGGAAAATAGAATGAAATAATGGATTTTACCATCTAAGACAGAGGAAGGCATATGATTGATTAAGTAACATGCAGTAGAGACTGCATCTACCCAATATTCTTTTGAAATTTTCATATGAAAAAGAAGAGCTCGTGTAACTTCCAATAAATAACGATTATTTCTTTCTGCCACTCTATTTTGTTGTGGAGTAACGATACATGAAGATTGTTGAAAAATGCCATTTTGAGAAAGAAATGAAGTAAATGTCGATGAGAAATATTCCTTGGCATTATCACTCCTCAAGATATGTACAGATTTATCAAATTGAGTTTTAATCTCGGCAAAAAAGGTGCAAAATATTGAAAATAGTTCTGAGCAATATTTCATAAGTTATAACCAAGTAACCCGAGAATAATCATCCACAAAAGTAACAAAATAACAAAAATTGGTCTTAGATAAAATAGGACAAGAGCCCCAAATATCATAATGTATTATATCAAAAGAGGATGAAACTCGTTTATTCATTCTAAATAGATATGGTACTCTATGGTGCTTTGATAATTAACACGACTCACAATCTAATCGGGACACTTGACTAAGAGTAGGACATAATTTTTTCAAAACAGGGAAAGAAGGATGGCCAAAACAACAATGGAGTTGTAGAAGAAAAGAGGTACTCGTGCATGCAATAGATCTTGACACCTGTGTAGGAGAAGAGTCGAGCACATACAAGCCATTAAACTTACGCCCTCTACTAATAATATGTTTAGTCTCAAAATCCTGAGAAATGCAGTGTTTAGGAAAAAAAACACTACAATTAAGGGATTTAGTAATTTGACTTACAGATAAAAGATTAAAAGGAAACTGAGATAAATATAAGATAGAAGACAATGGGAGAGAGTTCGTTGGATGTGCTCTCCCGCATCCGGCTACAGGAGTTGTATAACCATTAGCTAAAGTGACACATGGTAAATTAGAAGAAAATTGAAATGATGAAAGTATATTTGTATTCCCAGCCACATGATCTGTGGCATTGGAATCAATGACTCGATTACTAGAAGAGGTAGAAAGACACGCCATAGAATTACCCGTGTTGGCTAAAGTGGAAGTGGGAGTGGGAGATGTAACAGGTTGTTGCGGAGTGGGATGTTGAGATGCATAAAATTGTGTAAGGCGAGCATATTCGTCTGCTAGAATTGTAATTTGATGTTGAGATGGAAGTGTAGTAGGTGTAGGTAGAAGACCATCCCGAGTAGCAACATTGGCAAATTTCATCGTAGGGGTTTGACTTGTGTACTTTGCTGGTTTGCTATTCAATTTCTAACCGTTCCTGTTTACGTGTCCTTGCTCTCCACAATAATAACCACGAGAACCACTATCAGAGATTCTATCTCGACTACCTCCTCCTCCTTCTCCTTTAATAATGTAATTGTTATTTAGCTTTGAATTTGTGCCAACTAGAGCTACCGTCTCATTTGGTACTACACCCTACTTCTTGTCATCGTCCTTGCATACTCGAAAGAGATAAGCATATATATATTCAACGTAGGTACTGCCTCACTAGTAAGTAACTGAGTACGAGTCACCTCATATTTAGGACCCAAACCTGCAAGGAAACAATGGACCACAATCTTTTCTTCTTATTCATGTATTGTTTTCATATCACTAGTAATAGGAAACATGACCCGCTTTTCTTCAAATGCCTGTTTTGCCTCAATATAATTTAGCCCCTTTTGCTCAACTCGATAAATCTTTAGCATTAGTTCATGAACATTCGATACATCATGTTTACTCGCATATCAAAATTCTAGATAGTCCCACAATTCTTTTACGGTATCACAATGATTAATAACATTGTCAAATGTTGTGTCAAGGGGTATTTTGAATCTGATTAAAGAGTTTATCATCCTCCATCAACCATTTTTTTCGAATCCCAGGATTAGCACCAGATTGTGGAAGTGAACATCAGTCAAGTGATCACACAAATCCAAACTTGACACACTTGCAAACAATTCTCTTCCATTAAGCATATTTCCTACTACCCGTTAACTTTCTATCTATGATTTTTAAGGATGAAATTACTGTGATTTTATTCACCACTTTCATATCACTTTCGATCATGATTAACAGATAACCAGAAAAGACACAAAATAAAGCAGTCTAATTAAACACCAAGGCAACCCAATAATAATGTAAGTCCAGTAAAGAAGCAGCCCAAACAAAATATGCCAATCCAAATAAAATAAAATAAAAAAAGGATGAAAGCCCAAACAAACTGACCCACTGGAACAAGGCCCAAACTGATGAAATCCTAAACACACCAAAATCAGTAGACTCCGTCGACAGCCAAAATCAATCGGTTGCTCCAATCGAATCACCCACTGGAGGAGAAAATCGATACCATGAAGCCAAAGAACCTCTCGCATGGACTTCGGTTACTGACCGCCACACGCACCGATAGCGAGAGGTGCTGAAGTCACATCAAAGCAGACCAAACTGCTCGAACCAAAAGGAATCCAAGTTAGAATCACACAACGGCCCTAGACGCACGTTACAGAGTAGTTTTCACCACGATCGAAGCCTCTTCAGATCTTCACTAGCTAATAAGTGACATGGGTAAGTGTCGGTTTATCACCAAAGTATAGATCCAAACCTTTGCCACCACCGGGAACAATCCCACAAATTTTCAAAAACTCTCATACCCCAATTTAGAGAAATAGGCTTTGATACCATGTTGATTGATTTGGGAAAATCTCAATTTCGTATAGATTCAGCAACGGGTTACACATATATATATACATGCCAAGGATATTTTTCAGAAGGATATAATCCTATCTAACAAGGAAATAATTCTAGACTTATACACCTACCGTTTACAACAAATTTACACCTAAATTAACGCACACAGTTCATAAAAGTACTAACTATGGTGTCATCATGTGTGGTTACATTATAAGGAATTCTGGCATAGAGACCAAAGATTAATGATAACAGAATTGCACACTAGAACACAAACACATACTAAAGAAAGATTTAGGCAAAAATTTCAGACTTACCTCTTTGGCTCCAGGAATCTCAAAAATAGACCTCGGGCTATCATCTGAAACGTACATGGCATAAGCAGAATCATAGACTATAATTGACCCATTTTCTTTAGCGAATTCTACCAATCTAGTCAATTGCTCCCTTGAAGCAGCATAACCAGTTGGGTTATTTGGTGAACAGAAAAATATGATGTCGGTCCGACGAGTGGCAGACAAATCAGGAAAGAAACCATTTTCTGGGGTGCATTTCATGTATTCAATATTTCCATACTTCTCAACATCTTTCTGAAACTGCCCAGTCTGGCCCAAAATAACACTAGAATCCACATAAGCCTACAATACAAGATCAAGAATCTAGATGTTATGAGAACATGGGAAGGGCAAAGAGAAAGAGCAAAGCTTTTAGGCGTGCAAAGATCTCTGTTTTCCACCTTTCTTTAACTCTGAAATCATTTTTCAGCCCCCAATAACTAGAATTCTCAAACAGCTGTTTTTCCAAGAATTTTTTTTTCTTTTTATTTTAAATTGAAGTCTTCAGAAAAAATATCAAGCAGATCGAAAATTTCTAATAAGTTTCATAAAAATAAGCTCATTCAACTCGGTGACATCTTTTTATCCTTTGATTACCAGCTAAATAATCAGAAACACATCACAATATCTTGACATTCTGGCTTTCAGCCAAAAAATTTCCAACGTGCATGTCAGTTATAACCTACATTAATTAATCTTTAAACTCACTTAGCCCTTAAAAGATTAGCAAGTTGAATCATAAAATATAAACTGCTTAACCATTAAGAGTTCATCTAGAAGCTACAAAAACGGTTGGGTGGATCTACTTGGAAGAAATCATCATCAATGTAAACTAGCTTTACATTTTAACACTGCATATTGTGACAGCCTGAGAGATGAGAGAGAGCAAATGCAAACTTCATGACAGATTTATGGACAGTTTACTTTGATTTGACCAAATATAAACATTATATATTTACTGGGTATGATGGGTCTTGCACAGCCATTGTCACTTTGGATCCAAAAAGTACCTGCAAAGAAAGGAGAAAGTGTAAAAACTGTGACTCAATTCTGTACAGCAGAAAGGAGGCAACATTTGTGGTGCTATTAAATTCTAAGTAAAAATCTATCAATTAGCACATTACAATTATATGAGACAAGAAAAATATTCATACTTGAAGGCGAGATATGTCACTTTTTGCACCATCTGACACAAATACATCATCTTCTTCTATGCCGAGGTTTTCATAGTAGGTTTTAGCAATGGAAGCTCTCAATTGCTGGAAAAATCAACAGGGGCTATCATTACCATTTGTTATCAATGAGATGACAACATTGAAATTTCATTTACAATAAGACAATTCTCAACCAGTGAATAAACACAGAAGAAAAGTCAGAAAAGCTGGAAGAAGAGGAAGGAAAAATATATCAGACAATTAACATAAATATCCAAATTCTTCATGAAAGACAAGCACAAATATGAGAAAAATCAACAACAAATGAAGGGCATCACATACTTTTTCACCTTGCTCAGCTCCATAACCAGAGTATCCCTCTACTGTTGACAATGCATATGATCTCTGACAATAAATGTCATAAAAATGAATTACTGGTTGTAAACGAGCTAAACAACAGAAATATATAGACAGTATTTTGTAAGAAAATCTTAATAAATACATTAGAACTACAAGAAATTGTTTCCAATAAATTTGGTGTTGGAAACATAAATGTATCAAGTAATAGATAAATTAGAAGACTTCAATTTAAAAAAAATTTCACAATACCAGGAAAGTTCAGAACCGTCATTGATAGTAGTACCTTTGCCATGGAAGATGTAATAACTTCTGGAATAGGCTCAGTAGTGTCACCAATTCCCAGGCTTATGACTTGAGCATCGGGATATTTCAACATGTGGGCAGTCCTCCGTCTTGCTATCTAACCGAAGAGAAACACTAGTAGTTTTCACTTTTTTTGTCTTAAAGCAGAAAAAGAGGTTGAACATTAACAAATAGAAAAAAAGGGAATCAATACAGAAGTGCCATCATCATCTGATGGCAACTACTATAATGAAAAAACATACAAAAAAGACACAGGATAAGCATTTTGCATGTAAGTGTATTCTATAGAACTGCATGTAAGTATATTCTGTAGTACATAAAGATACAAGAAATATACTCAGTAATTCACGCATATATCATAAAGAATAATAAGGTCAGCACTACAATTGAAATGATTCATTCTACAACAAGGAGCATCACATAAATCATCTCACATACAGCATTCAGAATCAATGCTAGCAAAGTTTTGAACTCTATTTAACTGATTGCTTAATAAACATATATATAGAAGAAAAAGAGAGCTCAAAAACAGACCTCTGGAAAAAGGTAGCCAGCTTGAAGTTTTCCCATGTTTTCATTGCGGGAGACCTTTGTCTTGTAAGCTTAAATAAAACGCATCCCAAAGTTCAGTATCATCAAATGTCAGGTCACAAATAAGCATATACATATATATTAATTTAACTTTACCAAACATACAGATATTCTTACGTAGGTAAATATGTATGTTCTCAAAAAGACTTTAAAAATAAGAAACTTGGGTGTAACCCCAGAATGCGGGGAGATGAATTTAACATTAGGGCCATGAAAAGTGAACTCTGCCTCAACGTCTCCTCACATAATTCTCCTAATATATACGTAAAACTGAAACAAGTGATACAAATGCATGAAACTTTAGGCACTGCGCCAAAGTTCCAGAATAACCATTTCCCGCTTCAACTGAATAACGAACAGAACACAGCCCAGGTGAAAAAAAATACGAAATCATATTGAAAAATGAAGCAATTGATACAAATGCATGAACTATTAGGCATATGATGAAAATTAAAGGAATCACCATTACTCACTTCTACTACTTAAAAAACAGGGCACAACCCAGGTGAAAAAAAATAATACCCAAATTACATTTAAATTACAGGGGCACAAAAATTGTCAAATCAATACCAGTTATTTCAGCTGAGGGCGTGGCAACACATTCGATAACCACATTGATTCTCCCTGGAATTGAAACATTACTCGACCTGCACAAGAACACAGTAAAATTACAAACAAATGCCTCCACTAAATCGGAAAAAAAAAACCATCATGAAAAGAAGAGGCACTTGATGCTTTTGAGATTGTTGTGGCCCAGAAACGTTGAAGATGATGAGGAAATTGAAGTTGAAAGGCTCTGATGAATTACAGACATTTTTTTTCTAGCAAGAAACTGAGGGAACAAACGAGCCTTTGTATGTGTTGCACTGAAAGACCGATGAGTTTCACTGATTCTTGATAACAAAGTGAAGAAGCGAAGACAGAGTGGCAGTTACCAATTGCATGCTTATTTAAGCCGCCGTTGCACTATAAAAAACCCTAGATTTTTGGGCATTGAAAGTTGACCTTTCGAAAGTTACTTTTTCTTTTCATAAAAATGATAAGCCTTTTTTCCCGATATATACTGACTTTCAAAATTAAGTCAGGGGAAATTGCTAAAAAAATGTTAAAAACATTTATGAAATGTTCAGAACTACACTTAAAATGTCGAGAACTTCATAAAATATAGAAAACTCTCATATTCAGAACGAAATCTCGTCTTAGACAAATGAAGAGTTAAGATAAATAGAGTTCAAATGTCGAAAATAACTTTTAAAATATCGAGAATATCATGAAATGTCAAGAACAATAACTATTAAACACTACTTATCAACAAAAACAAGATTTCAAAGAAAAATTATATTTTACCGAGAATTTTAGAAAGCTTAATCAACTCACAATTTTATATGCAATTAAATTTTTTGAAATGAAGTTATGTGATTTTCTTATGAATTGGAAACATATAGTTAGTTTTTAATGTTAATGCTTTTCTACTTCATTTTTTTCATTTTTTTCTTAAAATTATTGGTCAATACATAATAGTTAATGAAAGCAAATGAATCCATTAGGTATTAGTTAACATTAATTTAGTTTCTCATGTAACTACCTGTTCAGGCTGGCTATTCTTCTCGAAATTCGTGATAAATTGAAAAAAATTGCTTCATTTTTTTTTAAGAGTATAATAGACAATTTGGTACTAAATTTGATTAATTTTTGCAAGAGTTATCAAAATTATATACTTTTTAATTGAAAAGCATGAAATTAGATATTTATGTAAATTCTCTGTTATGTCATTTAGCCATGTTAAACAATCATTATTTGAATTTTTTTTTTTTTTTACCTACTCATTTTTAATCACTTACTTTTTAATCACGCATTTTTCAAAAAATATTATTCAAAATTCCATTTTACCCAAATAATGGTTGTCAAACAGAGAATTAATTAAGTTGAATTTAATTTCTTTTAAATGTAACCAAACATGTCTTTATGTAAAAGGAAAATGTGGAAGAAGTTTAGGAAAATGATATTCCAACTTCTATGGGAAGATATGCCATGCCTCTATTTGACAACCATTTCTACATATTCATTAACCACACATTTACACAATAAAATATTTCGCATGTAAACCTAAAAATTTTTCGTGCTTTTTAACTACACATTCTCCTAAAAAGTACTATTCAAAACTTTGTTTTTTTTCAAAATAATGGTTGTCAAACACGGACCATATAAACTTTTAAAAAGTAGGAATTTGAGAAGCAATTTGTTTTCTAACTTCAGGATGAAAAGTATGATGAGAACTATCTACATATATAGTTATGAGAGTAGTTGTTATTGTTTCGGAGAAATTGAGGGAAACATGTTAGATATGACACTATTTTTAATCTTGAAATAACCAAAAAAAAAAAATTACTTTATTGCTTAGATCGTTCATGTCAAATCATTAAGGGAATTAATGAGTGCGGAACATATATTGATCCATTGAAAATGAAGGATAATTATTGGATATAGATTCTGGATCTTGAATTGCGTATTCTTGATTAGAAGGTTTGGGAGTTCTTGATACGCTTTCTCTTGTTATTCTTGTATTAAAAGGATGGCAGAAGGAACGATAAGTCACATGCGAATTGGGATCATAACCATATATATATAGACCCATATGACAAATTAAAACCAAACAATCTCTCACTTGGACCGCATATCTTACCTTATAAATGTGCATAATCTTATGAACTCGAAACTTTTGTTATCGTAAACTAAAGTATTTTTGAACAATTTTGTCTATTGATTATGCCAATATAAGATCAAAACAGTTTTTGTTACAAATATCATAAATAAGAGGAAGAATCTAATGATTATCGGTGATCATCTTATGTTAAACACCGGTAATATATTATATTAGTTCATTGATGGATCTCAACATTTGAATTAAATTTATTATATATATAGTTTTTATACAAAAATATGCCATATAGAAAAGTGTAAGAATGTAAAACTTTTTTTAAAGGAAATTTTCTTTATTATCTGTAATTATAATACATAATGAGTTTTTTTGCCCTCGTCAAACCAGGCCTTAGAGATCGCCTACTCCACCTATAATCAGTGTTGACACTACCCCTCGATTCTCAATCTTCCGAAAGAAGAATGGCGTTTCACATTGTTAGATACCCCTCGTGTGGATCCCAAAAGAAGTTGGAATTTGCTCTAGAATCCTTCTAGTATAGCAAGAACAATGGCTGATGAGTTTCAGATGGTGGCAATCAAACTAGGATATCCATTGGAAGCAGATGGCAAGTATATAAATAGCAGTACAATCCCTAATAGACATGTCTAAACAAATCTAAAGAAGAGAAACACTAAATATTTATTGGTTATCTTGTCCGTTTCTATTCAATATATAGAGGATATCATAAATACCAATACAATGGCTAAACAATGAAATCGTCAAACCGAATCGAAATCACTTTTTTGAAACCGTTGGTTTGGTTTCACATGGATTCGTCAACGTTTTGATTTTGAACCGAGCCAAACCGCTACAAAGTGATTTGGTTTTGGTTTCAATCTTTGCAAACTGTTTCA